GAGCGTCGCCGAGATGTGCGTCTTTTGGTACGAAAGCATCGACGAGATGCACGGCAAGCTCTTCGACGGGTCCGACGACTCCATCTCGACGCTCGACAACCTGTTCAAGGACGGCAAGCTGATGCAGAACGGTTACGAGCCCCTGGATGACCTCGAAATCCAGGCTGTCTTCTCCAAAGCGCTTTACGCGCTGCTGATCCCTCAGGCCTGGTCGCTCTCGCCCGGTCTCGGCGTCGTCGTCATCGACGCCCAGGTCCCATGCGGCACCATCGAGCCGCTCAAGGACGACGTGTCGACCGAGGACGGAAACGCGTCGTGGGTGTGCTACAAGGACCGCATGTACTTCCTCCTTGCGGCGAGTGGAGAAGAGAGAGATTGCACCCTCGTCCCTGGAGGTGGTCCCGGTTCTTGGGATTGCATCTCCAACAAGTTCAGCCTCCCGCCGGGGCTGAAGACAATGGACGGCAAGGCGTGGGCTGGCCTGACCAAGGATGAACTGGTGCAGGGGTGAGTTGACTCCCCCCTCTTCTAACCCACCTGTGACTCGCATTTGTCTGGGTATAATTAAATTACTGACGACCCAACCTCCGCTCACAGTGCTGTCAACACGTTTGAGGCCAACAACAATCAGAACGGCGGCGAGCCGGCCAACACGAGCCTGGAGCCCAAGTCCATCGGCACGCTTCAGGATTTGAGCGTCACCGCCCCTGGCGTCATCTTTCTTCCGATCTGCACCATCAAAGAGGCGCGCGAGAACTGGGCATGGGTTTTTCGTGGGGGCAACCCCTCTGCCCACTATCCCTGCAACTAAGGTGCCATAATCTAAGAAAACTTATTCCACGTGCATCTGCCGCCGCATCCAGCGGTTTCCTACCTCGGAAACCACGGCATTCTCGTTGCCTTAGGCTGCTACCTCAACTCCCCCAAATCCAGCGTCATTTTGCCTAAGGCATAATAGATACGTATCTTTTTCTGCCGGCAGAAAAGCACCACCGTTTCGATTCCGTTTTCCAGTAAAACGTCCAGTTTCGCTTGAGCTTCGAAGCTGAGCAAACCCATTAATTAAGCATAGAGTCGCAATCTGATGCCCTACCTATTTAGCAATTCTTTTGCGTACGCCGATTCCTTTTTGTAGTCGCAGCTTTTTCTTCGTTCTCGACTGGCTCTATCGCTCTAACTTATTCCTATCACCTTTTCCTGTCGATCTCCCGTTTGCTGTTACCCGCGATCACGTTACCCTGAATTACCATGCAGGAGCTGACGCAAACCCACCGGCGATGCCGTGACTAGTACCTCCCTTCTCGGCGTCCCCGATTCTTACCTCTAGCACGGTGTTAAAGACGTGACTTTACACTGGCTAGTATCTCTAAGAAGGAAAGCAGCGGGGGGTTCTACCAGCATGATGTTCGGATTGTATCTAAGGCCTTTAGCTGATTGGACTCGCCGCACTTGCCGATATGTAACAGCTCTCCACGGATATTGTCGCTAGTGTTCCTCTATGCGCGAACGACGGTTATAAATCGGAGAATCGCATTCTTACTCGCTGTTTCACGTAAGAGGACTTGTACAACGGAAGCTCCGAGAGGCCCGTTGGACAGGGCCTTTTCTTCGTTGGGGGGGATGTTGGGCTGGCTGTCGTGCTTGCGTGGCTCCGAGAGAGAGAGAGCATATAGGCAAGTGGTGCGCAGCAGTTCGGCCTTGAAGTGGCAGAACTGCTGGATCTTGTGGTTCAGTGGCAGAGTGGTTACTGCGCGCCCTCTGGCACCCTCGATAGCTTTTGAAGTTCCTACCTGATTCCCAATCATTATGGAGCTACACATCTCTTCCCTGAAACAGAACTGACATTCTCCTATGCCGGCTCCGCTTCGGCCCATAGTCCGACATCCTCTCCGGCTGTCACGGGTGGGCGCAGCTGACCACTGCGTAACACCCTCAAAAGAGGGACCGTAGTTCGAACTGTACAGTCGAACCAGGAGTTGCGCACATGAACCTCACACTGTCACGACCCGTGACACCGGCCCGCTTGGAAGGCGACGGTACCGAGACTCCCAAATCAGTCGACAACAGACCAATACGCAAGAGCCGTGTAACACGTTTAGTTCTGCAACCGCTACCAAGCACGAGGTAGCAGAATCGAACCTGGCAGATGACGATATACCATTTGGTGAGTGGGACGGTGGATTGTGGAAGAAGTGGTCCACAATGGTATCTTGAAATACATGACTATCTAGGCGCCTATTCTCGAGACATATACTCGAGTTAGATCCAGTAGCTTCTAGCGAATTGGTACAAGATTCTAAGCTCTAGAAACGGGCAAAGGTTCAAGTGCGTTCCAGTCATAGAGCTGTCCTCTGAGGAAGGAGGACTACTTGTGGTCGTGTGCAAACAAGTTCACTGTGCAAATGGTGTTGGAACCTGCAGGGCGACGACCGCTGAGATATGCGCTGGAGAAAGCTATTCCCAGTCAAAGCAGTGGATTGAATTTTTAAGGTGGTAAAAGTGATTGATTGACCATGCTGTTGATGGGCATGGGAGAGGACTAAGTATGTAAGGAAGAGGGGTTGCAGTGCTGGCACCAATCAACCACCGAGGTCCGTTGAATGCAGCCATCAAGGCGGCTTCGTTCCGACAAATGGGACGTTGACGAAACCTCAGGAGGAAGTTGGCGGCAGATAACGGGTACTGTTGGAAACTCAACAGCCACGAATTTGCCGCACCGTAGTAATTGGGTACCAAAAGATGGGCAACCGCTGTTGGACAGCAACAGTTACAGGCTCGAATAGGCATAGACCAACCAGGTGACACTGCATCAATTGAGGCACAAGATGAAGCTTGAATTTGACTGTCTGAACCATGCGTCATGTGTGTGTGTTGCTTGAAAGAACCGAGAGGCTTCGGGACCCTCGCCAGACCCTGCTTTTGGGTGACGAGTCTTCCACGCTTACTGCATTGGGCAACAGTGCCCAGCCCCTGAATCCAGGTGCCAAGGAGCCAGTTTAGTCCAACAACCGCTCAATTGATGATCATGCTCGTGTCTGTCTTGTTCCAAAGTTTTTTCTGCCTCTTCCTGATCCTGAGAATCCTGGTGCCAAGCCATTAGTCACCCCTTGAACTGCCCTCCCTGACTACCTGCCAATCCCAACAGGTACTGTACATATCCAAACGGCAGAAAGAGTTTGTATCTAGTAACAGGTCTTCAATTGGGCACTTATTTTTGCTGCTCAGCAGAAAAGGTACGAATCTAAATAGCAGGCGTTCCTTCGGTAGGTGTCTTTTCTGCCGGCAGAGAAAGTATGTATTTAATTGGTTTAACGTTATATCTGATGGAAGGTCTTAACTTAGGTACGTATCTTTCCTGCTGGCAGCAAAGATATAACGTTTGTAACGAGCTGGGCCCGGTGCGAGCCTCGGCGACTCTCGGCCAATACCAAGACCCTTGATGAGGCTATTCCCACTCGCCCCACAGCACACCGAACCTTCTAGCAACGCGCTCAGACCAGCGCGCC